TTCATTTGAGTCTTTGTATCGAGAAGCATTATTAATATTATATTGACCTTTATATGGCTCAGCCTATATATTTATAATATTTCATGGGGCTCTGCTAAGGTACTTCTATTTCCGTCCTTGGCTGATTTTGAAAAGGTACTTCTATTTCCGTCTGGAGGTAGTAACATCGAAATATAGCATCAAGTTAACATAAGTTTACATCAATGTTTGTCATAAATTATGACAAAAAATGCTAACTATCGAGAAAGTACATGTATTATATTCCACAGGGATACTGGCCATACTAAGACGTATACAACAAGCATACTTAGGGCAAAATCAGATAACACCATCAAACAAAACACCAATTTTACCAATTTTCACCAAATGGCTGGTTTATTTCCGACTGGAGGTAGTATATAATAAGACGTGATGTGTGGCGATTGCACTTATTTAGCATGCGTGAAGTGACCTCAAACATGCCAAAAAACTGAAATATAGCTTACTTTGGGTGTGATTATATCCCGCAATAAGAATCGTAACACCGTCCATGACACTTAATTACGTAGTATCAACGCTTCTGTACACGCTACTTTGTTCTTGCGTTGATCGGCGATCTACGAAGCTGTACATCAAAGGCTGCATTTTGGCGTAAACTACAAATATAGCGTAAAGGTATTGTCATCTTGAGCTATAATTTATACCATACATTGATATGTTATGTTATAATTTTCTAACATTAAAAGTTATGCAAACGTTTTGACTGCTCCCAGCAGCTCAGCGCAATCGATAGTTGCCAATGCTTGGAAATAAATGTGGTCCACCGCTGCTTTCTTCCTCAGAATGAACACGATTTGATTCTAGCGTATTGTACTGTTGGCACGGAACTGTGCCCATACGTACAGTCGTAACCTACTGTATATGGCAAAGAAACCATGATGCACTCTGATTAGTTAATAATGAAAAGTAAGCCCAGCCAACTCACGAATTCATCAAACAAGTCATTCGTTCGCTGTGTCCTCTAATTGTGTTTTGACCAATGAATTAATTACCCTCGACAACTCACGCGAATTTTGCAAGTTTATAGCGAGCTCATAATAACGTTACTGGTACAGTACACAGAATGTAGAAAGTGGGAATACCGTACTGTAATTCCCTGTGAGAATCTGTTTCACCTGTTGCTTACGTAATCACTCTCATCAAAAGAACCAGCCCTGTAGCTCTGTTACTAGGAACCCCCGGACCCCTTGTGTTGCTATTCCCGGGGTTGAGTGCATCGCCAGTGAACCCCTAACGTTAGCTAGAATGTGTAGTTTTGGTTTACACTGATTTGACCAACAATAACAAGTGAAATGATTACGTAAGCAACACTGGAACTATGTAGCAGGACACAGACTGTATTAGTGTCCGGAGTTGTTTTTGATTGGTCAATTTAAGCGACTACCCACACGACTCAGCAAAGGTTTTGTCGTTATCATATTAGCCACGCTGATGATGCAACCCATCAGGCTTCCGAGGTGGCACCAGCGATCGCTGTTCTTCGTGGCTGCGACATTGATTGCATGTTGCTTCATATTCCAAGTGATATACAGTTCTCATGCGTTGGAGAACCTGCATGTGCCCAGCGTGCGGCGCGAGGCGGCATTTGTCCGCGCCATCGTGGTACATCTCCCCAGAGATCGAGATGACGACGCCGTCGACGAATTCAGGTGGCTACATGCGAGTTGGAAAGACATGGTTCAACACCAGCCGTCCACGTGGCGTACGGACCTGGTTGTGGTTCCCGACGGAGCAGCTCTTGCCGGGGGCGATGGGATTCTCCCGTCCGACTTGAAGTGCACTGTGTCATCGCTCGTCAATCGGCTGAAGCCGAGCCAATGCTTCGTCCTTCCATCTACTCATTCCGCAACGGACGTGGCATTCACAGTCGACTTCGACGCTGTACACTCCTTCCAAGCCATAACCACGGCCGACCTCTCCGTGTACGACTGGGTTCTCATCACACACCCGAACGCGATCATCGGTCCAGCATTCGCAGGCTGGAAGCCAACCGTCTTAACTGTTGGCAGCGGTCTCAGCGACGCTCCGTTTTCCAACTCTGTGCTGCACGCCATGAAATCCATTGGCCAGGACCTTGGACTGACCTCATTTGAGCCAACCAAACACACGTTTGGGTTGTCTTGGTATGGACCTACGTCCGACGTTCAAGAGTGCGGCAAACTCATGCTCGAGTTGCTCGATCATTTGCACCAACACCTCGAACGTGGCGCCCTGAACGAAGCGAGTGATTGGCACCGTGCGTTGCCAGAGGTGGCTGCGTCGATGGCATTACCTGAATGTACCCAGTTCAACGTGGCTTTCCAGCCGTCGATGCTGGACGTGCCAGTGCTGCGGTTGGACGCCGTGTCTAGACATGCCGTGCTCATTCCGTCGCCAATGTTCACCACATTGGTATACGAGAAGGCCACAACATCGTTGCTCCAGAACGACCACTCGACCATTGGCTTTGCACTAGCCATCGCGCGGTCGTCAGCCCCTGCCGTGAATCCATTGTTGCTCCAGAACGAATTCACGACAACCCTCAACCAATCGTCGTTTGTGCGGGCGATCGTCGTGTCGTTTCGGTTGGCCACGAACCGCACAGGTCACGTCGAGCTGCGGGGGCTCCACCGAAGCTGGCAGATCATGCTCCGCGACCAGCCCCCCGCGTGGCGCACCGACCTCGTCGTGTTCGCCGACACGCCGTCGCGTCTGTTTGACCAGTTGAAGTGCTCGTCGTCGTTCGTTCGGCAAGCCGGCGACGACACCCCCAGCCGGTGCATTGCCGTTATCGTCGCCAATTCGCCTGACTCAGCTCAGTCGGACGCAGGGGGTATTCTGGCTACGCTGGCCACGCACCCCCCCGTGCTAGCGTCGTACGAGTGGCTCCTTCGGTCGGACCTGGATACGTTCGTGGCCCCTCGTTTTGCCACGTGGAAACCGTCCCAGTTCAGTGTCAGCCGACCTATCGTTCCGTACTGCGTGCCGGGAACGTTTACGTGCGCCAACCTTGCACGAGTGGCGTCTGAGATGGGTTTTCAAGTGCCCGTAAAGCGACAGTCATACGGATCGACGTGGTACGGACCGTCCAAATTGGTGCAAGCATGTGCCAAGGTGGCCATGCGTGTTATCAATCACTTGACCAACGTCGGCATGCCCTCATTGGACAACCATCAAGGACATCTGGACGCCCAAAGAACCAACCTTCCCTTGTATGCAGGACACGTGGCGTTGCAGCAGTGTACGACCTTGCCCGTCCAACGCCGACGACCAGATGTCCTCGAAGTGTCGACATCGTCCTCCCGACCACTGGACTCGATGGTGCATTTGAAAGCTGGAACCGACGAACACGGGTTCAGTCTGTTTCACGCTGCCAAGTTGCATGGGGACGTGGGGGACACGGCCATCGCCAAAGACTTTGCCGCCAAAATCGCATGGGAAGCCGCCAAGGACGTGACCGACAGCAGCACTCAGCATGCGTTGCACGAGTCGTTTGTACGAGCGGCGGTCGTGTACTTGCCTGGCGATAACACCAAGTTTCAAGCCGAGATGCGCTGGTTGCATGCCAGTTGGGTGGATATGGTGCAGCACCAACCAGCCAAATGGCGGACTGATATTGTCGTCTTCACAGATGGAGACCTGCCATTGTGGAAGTACTTGAACTGCACCACAACCATTCGAACCAGTCCAGATGAACCCAACCGGTGTGTTCTAGTTCCCGGGTACAAAAAGGTCAAGTCCAGCTCGTTTGACTATGGGTTTGCAGACTCGATCAACGTCGTGGCCATTGCGAATGAAGCCACGAAGCCATACGATTGGATCCTTCGCACAGACATCGACACGTTCTTCACACCAGCGTTTGCCACGTGGAAGCCACTCAAGTTCAC